ACACTTTGCGATTTGCTTATTCTAATTAATTGAATTTAACTTTTTTTTCGATCAAGTTTATAATGTTTTTGAGAGAGAATAAATAAAGAGAAAGAATAAATTCTTCTTTTGAATAAATGATAATGAGCTTCTCTAAAATATGATGAGTAAATTTTAATATATATATATAGATACATATAATATAACAGTAACGATAGTAACAAAGATGTATGGTTTCTCTATAATAGCGAAATTATTTTCCTTCGTGTATCGTCGCAGGGAACGACTTAATTCTGATCGAAGGGAAGAAAACCCGGCTCCACAAAGTGACAAATAACGATTGAACTTGCCCTATGTGAGCCAACCGCAGTTATTAGAGTGTGATTTAATATATTTTATTCCACTGACATAACTTTATGTGTTTCCGTTTCTTATTGCGGAGCCTCTTCCGTTATAAAAATAATATCGTTGTCAATTACAGTCGTAGGTAGTAAACAATAAAAAGATCGTAAAGTAATTGACAGAAACGATCAAGAGAAGGATCCGCATTAAGACCAAAGCGTATTAAATTATGTTAATGTTATAAAATGCAATAAATTACACTCTGATGACAACGATTGGCTTACATTGGCTAAGTCCAATCTTTATTTGTGCTTCTGACCAATTGATACATTCATTCGCGTGGGTTAAGGATCTTATTAATAATCGTTGCTTGAAACTTATGTAAATAAGATACCTTGATTTGAGTTTGGGGTCTGATGTCAGAGTTCCTCAGTGAAATCACGACTGCATATACAATGTCACGCATATCGTAGGATTGAGCCGAAGAATTCAGATTTTATTCGGAACCCGGATCTAAATATTTCGTGAAATATTTCGAGAAATTTCAAGTAACGACTATTAACACAGGCACAGGAATCCGTTTCAAAGTTTGGATTAAATATTCTCTTGCGAGAATCCGGGCATATCGCGTCTAATAAATTCGTTTCTCTTAAATATTTCTTTCTAAATTTTCGTTCGTCGAGAAAACAGCACGCTGTCTTGCGACAGACAATTCCATTAATTGCGATAAGCGTTAATGGACATTGCTGTCCAAGGCGAGCGTGCGAACGAGCGAGCGCTGGATAATGCGATCGATCAATTCTTCGAAGCAACACGCGATGTTTGGAATCAGAGAACGAGCGAAATGAGCCGAGATCAAATGCACACGCTTGAGGGAGGAAGAGAGACGAAGTGAAAGAGACGGATAAACGGGTGATTGTGCTCATGGCGCGCATTCCGCTACAAATTGCGCTCATTCAGACCGCATACTAAGTAATCAGCGTCCCGCGGAGGAGTGATCCTTTCGCGAATAGCGTGCCGTGTCGCTTTATCTAATTGCCGGCGTTGTCACCGCGAGACCTTGCTTCAGGCTGCTCAATCACCGGCTGGATCCGACTATTTCAGCAGCCAGAAGACGCGTACTTCGCGATCGCAACATTGTACGCATGCGGAACATCCAATCATGCAAAAATCTCCATTAATCCAGAAGCCGAATCGAAATTTTGGCCCTATCTTAAATCTTTAATTCCACAACACAATAGGGGACGTTTTTTATGCTGTCGTAGCAAATGTATGAATATAAAAGACGGTTTCTTAAGTTAACATGTGTTCATTTACTTATAAAATGGCTTAGAAACAACTCTTAAAGTATTAGATGATACTTGAGAAACGCTATATTACTTGAGAAAAATTGTATATTTATTTATTTGCCACTATAGCATAAAATTTACTGTCTCTGTAAATTAGTTTTTTCCGCATAGAAGTCAAAGTAGCAACTACAAGTTTGACCATGATAACGTCTTGAATTTTTATTTTCGTTGTTTTTAACAACGAAACAGGTTATTTTAAAGTAGCATTAGGATTAAATCGGTAGATTTAAAAGTGCAAGAGAGAAGTTAACAAGTTAACAAATGTAGTATTATCAAAGTAGATTTTTATTAGTCTATAAGTCATTTAAGTAGACACAAATCGACCAAGTAGTACGAAAGATGGGCCAATAAGCGCAAGTTATTATGCACAACAACTTAAATTAACAAGCGAGAGGATAAACTTCTTTCTTACTTTTTTAGATAAATAAAAAAATAAAAATAAAAATGACTAAAGTGAGTCTATTCTTTTGTCCAAGTCTATTCAAAGATATCTCTTTCTGTATAATATTATTTCTTTTTTACAATGTTGAAATCGCATTGGTTTCTGTCAAATGCTCTTCGGCTTAAAAATGACGAAAAGAAAAACGTTCCGTCGTATTAATACGGTACTGAATGAAAGCTTGATCACAAAGCACACGTATCAGCAGCGACTTTTTGCAGAATTCGCGAACGTGCGTACCCGGCGAGACAAATGAACATTAAACCAGGAAACCGTTTGTTTGGACGTAGAGAACCGGTAGGGCGCCTATTTCGCGTGCCAACGTGACAGACGCCGATCGCTTTGTGTCAACGTCGCAACGCTATCTCCATTATTTATCATGCTGGCGATTGAAATTTCAAACGAATTTCGCTACTACTGTCCCTTGAATAATACAGCATATTTCCATAGTAGCAACTCGAGTTGCGGAATTTATTTCGAAAAATAAAATATTTCCCGAAAAAACGTCAAAATTACATTTTATTAAAAAAAAAAAACCAATCACAATTGGGTTTCAATTCAATAAGGAAATCGGATTTTGTTACGTTATATTTACTCAAGGAAACGTTTTGTTGGTCCAACTAGAATTCTAAAAATATCACAAATAAAGTATATCGCTGTTTGCTGCATCTGCTAGAAAATTGTCTGTGGTATAATTTAAAACAGCATTATTTTAACAATATATGCAGGAAAATTTAGATCCTGTTATTAATTTTTAGTAAGAAATGTGACCTTAATATGAGATAAGCCTCACAGAGAGACTCTCTTGATATATTAGACAAGTAGTCCGAATAAAAATTCTATCTCTGTCACCTATATTGATTAGATACAACACATATGTGACATTGAAGTACTTTCTAGTCATTTATTCATATTAACTAATTTCTCGTATCTGGATAATTTTCGCTATGACCGACGAAGATCATGTTTTTAGTGTTATCTATGAAACCTTTTTTGTCTCGATCGCAAAATATAAGAAAGATAATGATAAAAATCTCCGTTAAAGGCGGAAGTATCTCCGACGTTGAAGGCGACATTTCTCCCGGATGACTTGGTGTTTCTCTTGTGACGCAGCCGTGAAACGTCGAACGGAATTTACGCGGCGAGTGTGAACAATTACTTTCGGCTGCTGAGAGAGACGCCGGGAAGGATCGCCATAAATCAATCGGCCGGGCGGTTCGCACACCGATAAAGGTGACTTTTTACGGGCTTAAACTAACGTATCAGTCATGGAAATAGCGATGATAACAACACCGTCGTGAGATTGCCACCTTACGAGCGGCAACCTGCACTTTGTAGTGACGTAATGATAGTGCATGCCGCGGTAGAAGACACTCTTACGTTCCTCGCGCGTGCATGATTTATATTAGCGGCCGCTAATACTTGCTTTACTCCGTAATGAAGCGTTGAGTAATCTTGCACAAACCGACTTCTCGCGCTGGACACCGGGGTATAACCGGGATAAATTCGCCCGTTGCGATTATTACGCCGTTTGCGTGCATGCGTGCTTTTGTACGGCTTGTTGCGCTAATCAAGAAAAAATGAATGTCTTACGTACGAAATTTTTCTTGTTATTACCGGTGCAAGAGAGACGACTTAGCAGAGCAAGCTGGTCAACACGATAAAATATCTTTCGATTGCAATAAAATCCTTTTTGCAATAGATACTCCGTAATACTTCTTAATTGGAGGCAAAATGGCGATACAATGTAGAGCAGATGAATTCGATCGCACGTATGTAACAGTGACAACACTGGTCGACAAATTCCGTATCATATGTTATATATCCATTTTGAATGTTTTAATCTTTCTTATGTTTCTGTTGAAACAGAAAGTAATAAAAACATACTTAGCTGTAATTTAAGAAATATGGGTAATATTTTAATTTTCGTAAGTTAATGGTATGAGGTGTGAAAATAAAGCGACAGGCAAATATTACGTGGCTACATTACATGACGACAAAACAAAAAATATGAAAGAGAAGGAGCCTTACAAGAGAATGAATGAAGCAAATAAATGAACAATTAGTAATAAATAAGCTACGCATTAAATTCTCAGGCTCTTACTGTTACTTTATTTTATCATTGAAGCCCTTTCGTTTTGCATTTTGATTGTGTATCATAAAGAATTTTGGTTTATTTAGTAAGGAAAAAAATTAAATACGTTAGAAAATAATTAAAACTCAATGGCAGACAATTTCCCAAATGAATCGTAGCAGCGAACGTGTTAAGTAAAAAAAAATTCGGTTTCCGGTTTCCGGTCGACTAAAAAGTGTAGGACTAGAGAAGCGTCACCCCGTGACTCTTTAAGGTGGTAGTAGTCGCCCACGGCGAATCACGAAACGATCCGATCGGATTCCGCTCGGTATTCCCGCGGTTTCGTAAGTCCGAGCCCCGACTTAGGAGACAATCACCACAACATTGCTCGCGCGTGGTGGGTCTCGCGAGGCGGGTGGAAAAATCTCGACGTCGTCGTCGTCTCTTTAAGGCTCCGTCTTGCCGCTGCATCAAAATGCGCGCGTGTATGCAAATGTCCGCATAAAGTAGTCGCGCGCTCCATTTACTAACGTTCGCGTCTCTCGCGCACGTTTAGCGTGTTATACAACCTCCTCCTCCTCCTCTTTCGTTGCGCATTATGTGTTTTAATATATGTATAAATGTGTGTGTGTGTGTGTATGTTCGTGTACTTGTCGCGACGTCGTGTGTGCATGTGATGCATATCGTGAGTAAATAGTGCACGAGTCTAGGTAGGTGTGGCGATAGCCGGCCGGCCGTTGGCTTCTCATTGGCGGGGTGCAGGCGCGAAATGAAAGTCAATTCCCTATATAAAGGGTTGCTTTTCTAGCCTGTAGACAGAAACCGATCTATTTTACCACACGACTCACTCTCACGCCAAAGTAACGTTCGACATGAAGGCCCTGGTACGTTCCTCCGCGACCCGCGATCCGCGATTATCGTCGTGAACGACGATACTCTTCTCTCACGACACGACGATGAGGAGAGAACGTAGAGCTCCGCCGCGGAGTCCGCTCGAGATCGACGCTCCTGTGTCTCGATGTGACATTTCCAGTGAGATCTGTCGCATCGAAGTTTCGCGATCACCGAGAATGGTTAAAAAATAATCGGGGAAGTCATCTGTTCGCGTCACGGGATCTCCCGGTTTTAAGATACACTTGACTTCGTCGGAGCGCCATTAATTTATTTCTTCATTTTTATTTTATATTTATTCATTTTTTCACATTCATTTATCCCTCGGTCTATATAGTAGCTTGATTATCTTTTCTCGTAGAATTACAATTTTCACTAGAATTCTAATAGAACATTTTATTTACCAGCATGTTTGTATTTGAAAAGTGTTTTTTATTTTTTCATTTCAACATTTGTTTTTCTTCGGTGATTATGGAAAAAAGCTTTTGAATCCACTTAGTATCTATTTACATCTCTTTATATATTTTTTTATTTTTATTATCTATTAGTTACATTATCTATTATCAATATACCTAGTAAACAGCAACAGTAAGTAATATCAATGTTACAATTTCCCACTCGACAATGTAAATGCAATATAATGCATGTGTTACATAACAGTTACATTGTTAATTGATTGGGAAATTATAGCATTGATAGTTAATGTTTACTGGGGATGGTTGATATATTATATATGTTTTTATTCAATTATATACATTTATATTTCTCTCCTATCGATTTATTTGGATCAATTCATCCGCAAATTTCAACCAACCATGGATTCCCGACGGACTTGTTTTATCACTGTTCCTTTCTTTACCTTTCTTTGCCTTGCAGATCTGCCTGATGCTGATCTCCGTGGCGCTCGCCACCGAGGAGAAGACCGTGGAGAAGCGCGGCCTGTACGGTTTGGGTGATTACGGTGGTCATGGTGGATATGACGTTGGTTATGGTGGACATGGCGGATATGGCGGATATGGTGGATTAGGTGGATTAGGTGGCGTCGCCATTGCCGTCAGGGAGAAGGCTGTCGCCGTGCCCGTCGCAGTTCCCGTCGACCGTCCAGTGCCCGTCAAGGTACGATAGTCGAAGAGTAACACGTTTCCGAGTAGTCGAAGCGCTCGTTGCCGGAAACTCGTCGTTCATAACGACACCACTTCGGCGTTTCGAAACTACGAGCGAAATGAACGGTCGAATCTGACTCCTGCGCGTCGTCTTCAGGTTCCAGTCGCCGTCCCGCACGCGGTTCCAGTAGCCGTCCCGGTGCCGCAGCCGTACCCTGTAGTTCAAACCAAGACGATCGCGGTTCCCGTAGAGAAACCCTACCCAGTTCCGGTCAAAGTTAAGGTGCCAGTGACGATACCCGCTCCATACCCCGTCCCCGTCAAGGTAAGTTATTGACGAATTTATTTCAATCGAATAATATCTTCTTCGTTGATTAACAAAGAAGCACTTAAAACGTTCAACGAAACGTACGGGTGACCGGCCAGAACGGAGAAACTCATTCATCTCGTGTTTCGACGATAGTCAAAGACCAACGATAAAAGTCGACAACGTTGAAGGCACCAAAACAATAGCGATTTGCTTTTATTTGGCCAGTTTCTTTTCTTCGTTATCAAAATAGCTTGAATAATATTGATAATTGGAAATTTCTCGAGTCAAATTAATTTTCGCCTCATTCGATAAGCCGCGATAGTATTGCGATTCCAGTCACTGGTAATTATCATGGTATTCAACGTGTTAACACATAATGGCGACTGCGTTGATTTCTGTCGATCGTTAATTAACGGTTGAACTACCAAAGAGAGACGGTGGATAAATTTATAATAATAAATAAATTTAATTCGACATTCTATGTCGTTTACTTGTTTTCACGGGCTTTCTATTGACCGTATGACCGATTTTTCAAATGTCATTAATTATATATAATTATACTTTGTGACACTTAATGACACGTGACGGTATCATAGTACCAGTCACCGATGACCGTCGCAGCAATTAACTTGTTATGACACCGCCGTGGTCTTCGAGTTTTGACGAGGATCAGAAGCGTAATCGCGCGGATTTGAGTAACGATGCGGCGCTATTTATATCGAATCTCGCCAATTTCTCCACGCAGAAATAGTGACGATAATTGTTAGCTGACTCTTTGGTTATAATAACGTACGTCTCATTATTCCCGACTTTCAAGAGCAACATCGGGAGGCGATCATATTGTTTATTAACGCGCGTGTGCGTAACGGAAGAGCGCCGCCGCAGCTATCTCTCAGTTTAGCTAATTAACCGCGTCCCCGTTAATTAACTAATTAATTAATTAACAAGTGTTCGAGCTCGTTGCGACAAGAACCACAGTTTCCGATCGTTCATGCGGACGTTACGCGGTATTGGAGCGGGTAAACGCGCGCACGTGTGAGAGAGAGAGAGAGAGAGAGAGAGAGATGTAATCGGTGGCAGGTCGAGCGAAATTTTACAGTCGCCGCGGCGAGTTACAGCGAAAATTACTTGACGATCGCCGCTGCAGAGACGTAATCAACGAGGAAAGCCGATTCGTGATCGCGAATATATCGGGATCGCAATTACTCTGTCTAATTACGTCCTTACGTAAGAAGACTAATTGCCTGATCACCGTTTTCGAGTCGCGCGAAAATAGCATGTGAGGGTAACACAAGCATAATAAATGTAATTAATATAATAATAACTTTAATTTATGCTTTCGCAAATTTTTTTAGTTACGCACTGTACGACCGCGCATAAAATCATCATTAAATTGAAATTGAAAGTAAAATTAATTAACGATATCAGAAATTTTACTAAAAGACTTTAAAATGTTTATAGTGTTACGTTTTCGTTTTACTCTTCCGTAATAATAGATTCTTCGAACAATTTGAAGACAATTCTCTGAGTGGTTTTTCGAGAATGTGTAATTCTTAACGTTGCGTATTCTTGCAACTAAGTCTTAAATTAAAATATTATGACAACGAACTTCCCTTCAAAATAGCCCCGAAGAATGTAGCTTTGATTTTCATTTGGTTCTTTGAAGTTTAGGTTACGTAAAGCCTTTCCTTTTCAATCGTTTATAATTTAATATTAATTGCCTCGATATTCTCGTTGAGGAAACTTCGACCTCGAATCGGCCAAAGAACCTGTTATTAAAAAAATAATACGATAGAAGTGAGATATTTAGTGTGATACATATAATTAACAGGATAAAAAATTACATTACGAAATATATGGCTCGGCGGGTAAAATTCCGAGCGGAAAGTTGTTGACAGTGAGAAGTTCTCGCCTTTCGCTCCGCCTTAACGTCGAAGTACAAAGTTGCGAACTGACTGTTGAAAGTTGTCCTTCAGACTTTCCCTTTCTTATTATTGTTGTTATTAATCGATTTCGATATTTCATGTTTTTCAGGTATCCGAGCCAGTCGCAGTTCCGGTCCCACACGCCGTACCAGTCGCGGTTCCGACTCCAGTCATCGTCAAGGAGACGGTCCCCGTTTTCGTTAAGGGCTACGGCTACGGGTACGGCCACGGCCACGGCCACTATTAGATGAATTTTTCCCCCCAAAAGTCACGCGCGCATATCCCCGTGCCCTGTTTTTACCTACCTACCTTACAAACCTACCTACCTGTTGCCCAACATCGCAAATTCCATCGCGACGGGCGGTTGAACTTCAAGACGCTTCCTCCCCTCGTCGCAGTACTCTGAATTCACGAAATAAATCAATTTTGTAAATGTTTTCGTAAAGAAAGAAACACCGAGTCAATTTTTTCTAACCTTGAAACTCGCCCCTTCCTCTGTTCCGAGACACGCGAAAGTCCTGTGATACTTCAATTGCGAGAAATTTCTTCGCAGCGTCGCAACAATGTCACGATTAAATCTTTTCGCGTGTTTTAAGATCCGGCAAAATTAAAAATTAATTGAGATTGTTTCTACAATTAATTTCCTATGAAAACATTGATGTCATTGTTGCTTTACATTAATATTAATTAATAATATACGTAATTTTGAGCGTTTTATCATAATTAGAGCATTTCATTAAAAATAGAATTACTTCTGACTGATCCAAGGTTTACCCGCATTATTGAAATTTTTTTGTTTATATAAAAATTATTCTAATTACGTCTATACAGAACTAATTGCGTTCATATAGGAGTAAAAACAATGCGGAAATATGAAAGAGAATATAGAATGATACAGGATAAATTTTATATATATATATATATATATATATATTGCAAATATTACGGATATTATGATTTCTCACACTGCAATTAATTATACGCGTAATCGACGTGATTACGATATTTCAACGCGGAATTAGTTTCATTTTTCCTAGGTCCACTTGTGTCATCAAAATTTCTAGGAGATCCTCGTATAAAAATTTTTATACAAAAAACGTTTGCTCTCTTGCACGCATTGCTTCTTGTGCTTCCTTTCTAAATATAATCTTTGCGCTTTGCACACGATCACGAGCTCCGAATAACCTCTTAGTTTTGAGCAATTTCGGTGCACGTTCTCGTTTATATCTAGATTTTCCGTCGGTGGATTATCCTCTAGATATATGTACATTGTCAATTTAAATGTGGTCTTAATTTTTCTTTTTGTCGCATGGCACTTAAAAACTCGCACCTGGTTCTTCATGATCTGATAATTTGAATTAACAGAACTTATCATTAATTTCTCGAAAAAGAGTCGAAAAATGAGGATATGGGCAGAAAACTAATTTTATAAATATCAACATTTCTAGGAGATCCTCGTATAAAGATTTTGAAAAGGAGTCGAAGCAATACGGACTAATTGTATAAATATTACAAACATGGCGAGTGCATTACAATTGTACACGGCAGTTTATCGCGCAATTCCGCGCGCGCCATCAATTTCGAGCGGAGTTTAGGTCGAAACTGGATCTAGTAAACTTTCGAGTTGGACTATTTTCGTGCCGCGCCTCGCAATCGCCCGTGCCGAAGCATTACAGAGTCAAGGTGAACCTGGAGTTGCGGGAAGCGCAATATCGGCGGGTTCAACGTCGGAGAAAAAAGAAGAGGACCGTCCCCGTCTGTTTTCGGACGGGATAGTTGTAATCGCGCACAATGCGAGATATCAGATCACATACGGACACAGTTGCTCTGGGCTCTTAGGAAGAAATGTCGAAACGATACAAAACACTCGTGCGGGATCGACGTCGGGCGCTCTTTCGTAATGAAAATTTAAGTGGCTGCGCCCAACCGCTCATCACAGCTCGCTTCTGTGCTTGCTCGTTGCCAGCCACCTCGCACTTCGCGCCACGTTTTACCATGTTTTACCTCGTCCAGGTGCGCCTGCCTTTCATGACAGGAGACCGTAAATTCTCGCCGGTAGCTAACTGGATCCATTGGATCCTTCCCATTCCGCTCCATTTGAGATGAGCTCGCCGTCGGAAATGCTTACCGTCTATTCGACGAGGATTTTTCATAAATTCGATCGATCTGTGGTAAATCTTCGATGATCGGGCTTATCGCGAGAAACTCGTGGCCGCTGATTAATGGCAACAGCACCTCGAATAAGGAATATCGCGCGAAATATATATAGCTTTTCATCCATCAGAAAATATTAAAATGTAGATATTATCTCAATAATAAAATATATGTGTATATGTAAGAGAAAGAAAAAAAGAAGGAGAGAGAGAGAAGGAGAGGGAGAGAGAGTGAGAGATAAACTATATAAAAATTATATAAGTTCGGCTCTGTTATATATATATACTGAATTAAAAATATTGTAGTGTGAATGTTATATCTTTCTAAAAAGTAAAATATTATATATAAGATATTACATGTATAATATTAATATAATATTAATAATATTAAATATAAAATTATAATTTATATTGCGCACAAAATTATACAGAAATTACAGTTTCTAGAAATAAATGAAAATTAAGTTAGCTTAAATTTTCAGATTAAGCTTAATTTTCAATTAAGAAGTCATATTAAAATAGAGAGTCGATATTGTTACGATGATGTTAGTCAATGGGGAAAAAGTGGATCTTGTTATAATTAATATATAATAGTGTGAAATACAAATATAATAATGTGAATGTTATTTCTGTAATACGATATTACGTAAAAATCTACACAGAGATTCGAAAGACGAATCGAAGGAATTATATAAGAACTAATTAAAATTAAAAAATCACACACGCACACAGACACATCAATGTGCTGATCGGAGTTTGATACAGCGTTAGCTAACACTCGAATGGAGTATGTTGGCTCGTTAGACATAGAGCTCGTTTAAATGTTAAAAGCGCTCGTCGTGTTGTCGTCGTACAGCCGTCCGCATTGCCGTAAATAATGGCGCAATGTGCGCAGAAAGACGTGGGAAAGAAACGTCGTCCTTAGAGAAGCAGCACGATGAGGGGTCTTTCGAACGGGGAGAAAAGATATAGCGCGAGATATTTTCGCGTTCACGCTGAATTCTATACGGACGAAGAAGAAGAGAGTCGTGTCGCTTGCGACACGCGCGCGAAACGCCACGTTGCGCGTGAAATTTCGGCAATGTTCGTCGCGCGATCATCACTTGTCATTCCACTCCGGCGTTAGAGCTCGTAACTTGATCACGTAACAGAACGCAATAAAATCGGCAAATTCGAGAAAATAAGCCGTGAAAGCTCCTGTTAAATCATTTAAAGCTAACTATGCGAGCTCAATAAAAGTCATCATTTAGAACTCATTTGGAATGTCGTAGAATCGAATGTTGCAACCTGAGTGTTGCAATTTCAAATGACACGGTCGGATCTTGCCTCGAAAGTTCCGTGCGCATTGTTGATTATTGTTTATTCATTTATGGATGTACTGTTCATAAGTCAAAATAAGGAAAAAATTATTTAAAAAATTGCAAATTACAAGCCACATTGCATTTAGAAATTACACCAATTCACAAAAGTTTGACCGCAATTCAGATCGAAAGTTATTCTACTTTAAAGAAGGTTGTAGGGTGAAACGAGTTTGATAAGAATTCAATGAAAATTGAATTATTTATATATTGAAATATTATCTAATTCCTTGTTCGTGCAATTAGAGAAAGATTGATCTTTCAAGAGCTGAGATATTTGTAACTAAAGTTGACACTTTTTATATATATTTCTTGAGAGATTAGCATGTTACTTTTAATTACTATTTTTAATATCTCCTGAATTAAAAATAAGATTTTAATGAAAAACTACTGTGATATTAAAAACTAATATTTAGGCATTATATACAAATTTCAAAATTATTGATCATTATGTTTTGAAAAAAATGTAGCGATATAAAGTTTATAATTTATAGTAATACTCGAAATATATATATATATAATTGATGTATATAGATATAGCATTAAGCAGAAAAATAAATCATGTTTTTGTATTTGTAATAATATATACATATATATATATATATGTATGTATATATGTTTACTTCAACTTTGTTTTAAATTAATATTTATTATTTAGATAATGGAATAAAAGTGTAGAAACGTAATTTTGCCTGATAAGCTCGAAATTTATGAGTGGCTCTTTTGATGCGCTACTAAAAATACGGTATTAATGGGCAATATATTCTTAATAATTCTAATTTATTTTATGTGATTGTTTAGTCTCGTTTGTGTACTTGAAATCGATTTTAGTTGTTATTTCATCTCATCCGACTCTCGTCTGCGACAACTTGTTTATGGTCGATTAAAAATGACGCTAATTATTATGTCCACCGAACATTTATAAGGTAATGTCGTTATTCGTGAATGAAAATCCCTACATATATAAATAACAAGTGTCTGTGAGTTTACGAAAGGAAGACAAAATCAATTCTCCAATATTGTGTAATCGTGTATAATCGTAAGCCAAAAATCCATATATCATCGCTACTGTTTTGGAAGCGTCTTGTCAGTACCCCTCTTCATCTCATCGTGACATTTTCGTTAAAAAAGAGGAAAAAGAAGAAGAGGAAAAGAAATAAGAAAGGAAAATTTATTCCGAGCTTTTGCTATATAGAAATGCAAAATGAAGAAAGATTGTGTAAGCGCAGTGTGCTGCATTGACACAAATACGATTGCTACTCGTTATGCGTCACCGTTCCTATCTTTATGAGATCAATTCTCGCACAAGGCATGCAATTAAGCAAACGGCTCATTTCGATTAGTCGAAATTTAAATGCCCAATTCTACCCACGTTTCTCTCGTTCTCCGATTTCGTAAGTTTCCGAACGTTTTGATCGCATAATACATAGATAACGCCGTTGAAAAATCTCGCTGTAGGTTTCCGAACACGAAAATCAAATCTCGTCCGTTTCTACAAGGTGTGTCTGCGTGTGTATGTACCAGATTCTTTAAATATCCCTTAGTCCGAAAGTTGATCTCGTCGTGCTAATTTCGTGAAATGCCAGAACTTAATTTCAATGATTTTAATTCAATATATTCGGATCTGGCGACATGGATAAATATCTCATTTTCACAATATTTGTTAATAGATATCGTTTTTGTAATATTTATTAATAAATATCATTTCTACAATATATATTTCCCAATAAAGTGTGAGAACATTTTGCGCGTCGTTATTGTTGTTTCACGTTATAATATTTAATTTTATTTCTGGTAATTATTTCTTCATATCAGTTATTAATCTCTTTCTACTTAGCTCTACTTTTTTCTCTTTATTATGTAATTAAACGATAATATATATTTGTCTCCCTCTCTCTCTCTCTCTCTCTCTTCTTCCATCAATATATATTATTATTATTAT